GCACTCCAGCCTGGGCGACAGAGTGAGACTCTGTCTCAAAAAAAAAGAAAGTCAACAACAAAACATAACCCATGTTGAAGTGATAACAGCAATCTGCACTCCCACATTCATTGCAGCACTATTCAGAACAGCCACAAGACATTGAGTCAACCTCAGTGTTCATCAGTAGATGAATGGATAAAGAAAATGTACTGTGTATACACAATGGAATACTATCCAGTCATAAAAGAGAAGGAAATTCTAGCATTTACGACAACATGAATGAACCTGGAGAATATTAAGTGAAATGAGCCAGGCACAGAAATACAAGTACTGTATGATCCCACTCATATGTGGAATCTAAAATAGTTGGTCTCATAGAAATAGGGAATAGAATGATGGTTCCCCGGGACGGGGCTCTTTGTAGAGGTTGGTGACTAGGGGGATGTTGCTCAAAGGATACAAAATTTCAGTTGGGGAATAAGTTCAAGAGATCTATTGTACAACACGGTGACTACAGCTCATAATATATTGCATTCTTGAAAAATTCTAAAAAGGTGGGTGTAAAGTGTTCCCATCACTAAAATATAACCTTGTGAGGTAATGCATATGTTGTTAGATTTAGTTTTCCACAATGCATATGTACTTCAAAACATCACATTCTATGTGGAAAATATATACCAATTTATCTGTCAATTAAAAAAAAAATCTGATTCAAAAATGGGCAAAAGAGTTGAATAGAAATTTCTCCAGAGAAGATAAACTAATGGCCAATGGGCATATGAAAAGATGTTCAACATCACTAATCATTAGGGAAATGCAAATCAACACTGTAAAGAGATGACACCCCACGTCCATTAGAATGGCAACTATCAATAAAACAGAAAATAACCAGTGTTGGCAAGGATGTGGAGAAATTAGAACCCCGGTGTACTGTCGGTATGAATGTAAAATGGTACAGATGTTGTGAAAAACAGTATGGCTATTCCTCAAAAAGCTAGAAATAGAATTCTATGTGTTCCAGCAATTCCACTTCCGGGTATATACCCCAAAGAATTGAAAGCAGGGTCTTGAAGACGTATTTGTACACCCATGTTCATAGCAGCATTATTCACAATAACTAAAACATATAAGCAACTTAAGTGTCCATCAGCAGATGAATGGATAAGCAAAATGTAGTATATCCATGCAATGGAATATTATTCAGCCTTAAAAGGAAATGAAATTCTGCAATATGGCACAACAGGGATGAACTTTGAAAGCATTATTCTTAATGAAACAAGTCAGTCACAATAAGACAAAAACGGTATGATTCCACTTCTATGCAATAACTTAGAGCAATCAAAATTATAGAGGCAGACAGTAGAGTAGTGATTGTCAGGAGCTTGGGGAGGTAGGCAGGGGGAGTTATTGTTCATTGGGTGCAGTGTTTCAGTTGTACGAGACAAAAAGAGTTACAGAGAAAGACAATTGTAATGGTTGCACTTTATGAATGTATTTAATACCACTGAACTCTACATTAAAAAATGGTTAAGATGATATATTTTATGTTATTTGTATATTACCACAATAAAAGAAAAAAACCCAATGGCTACTCAAAGAAAATGTCCCAGTTCTTCTCGAGAAGATAAGTCTTTTGTAGGGGAATCAGTATGCCTTACCAGGCCTTGGTTTTCTTTAAAACAAAGGAGTTGGAGTGGGTGATTTCTGGCTTCATTTCTTACTCAAATAATGAAGTTAGAGGAAAGCAGATGAGTACGGTTGTCAGTGCCTGGGCTTTGGCATCAGAGACTCAGGTTCTCATGGGGTTCTGCTGCTTATTAGCTGAAGGGTTTTGAGGTAGATAGCCTCAAGAATCCTCTATTTTCCTTCTAATAAAATCAGATATTAATTACACATCTGCCATAGGGAAGTTGTGAATATTAAATGAGATAATGAATGCAAAGAGTTTAGTATGGTGCTTGATACATAGTAAGAGCTTTATTAAGCTCTTAATATCATTTTTTAAAAGTGGACACTTGGGAGGCCGAGGCGGGCAGATCATGAGGTCAGGAGTTCAAGACCAGCCTGAACAACATGGTGAAACTTTGTCTCTACTAAAAATACAAAAAAAATTAGCCATGCAAGGTGGTGTGCTCCTGTAATCCCAGCTACTCTGGAGGCTGAGGCAGGAGAAGCGCTTGAACCTGGGAGGTGGAGGTTGCAGTGAGCTGAGATTGTGCCACTGCACTCCAGCCTGGGCAACAGAGCAAGACACAGTCTCAGAAAAAAAAAAAAGTAAAAAAAAAAAACAGTGGACACTTCCTGAAGTATCCCAGTTGTTCCTGTGACGTATACAAGCTGGGAATAAAGAAGAGAATATCATTTACTCCCAAGATTCTAACCAAAGTACTCACATTAGGCGGGATATAAATTTTCATGCACAGAGTTTATGCTTGAAAGTACAGGTGTTACTAAGCCAAGGCTCAAAGCCAGCTGTAGGTCTCAAGTACTTTCTACCTCCCTCAATGTTTGGTTTGCTCAGGTTTCCAACCTCTTTAAGGAAAACAAGAAAGATAGGAAGAAAATTATTATTTACCTTCAGTTATAAAAATTATTCACATCCTTAAATGCTCTCAGGCTTTTTAATTTTGAATTTCAAAAGATGTCTTATCCTTCGCATAAGTAATAGATACATTTTATTTTAAAAATAGGAAGTGAATATGAAGAATTTATGTTGAGGGTGATACTATGGATTTATGGGAGTTTCTTCTTTTCTATGCTTTCAAATATTTATAAAAATTTATTTATTTATTTATTGAGACTGAGTCTCGCTCTGTCACCCAGGCCGGAGTGCAGTGGCGCGATCTCGGCTCCCTGCAAGCTCCGCCTCCCGGGTTCACGCCATTCTCCTGCCTCAGCCTCCCGAGAAGCTGGGACTACAGGCGCCCGCCACCGCGCCCGGCTAAATTTTTGCATTTTTAGTAGACACGGGGTTTCAGCGTGTTAGCCAGGATGGTCTCCATCTCCTGACCTCATGATCCGCCCGCCTCGGCCTCTCAAAGTGCTGGGATTACAGGCGTGAGCCACCGCACCCGCCCATATTTATAAAACTTTAAAAAGTCAACAAATAAGTGGACTTCATGCTTTCCGGCTGAGGGAGCCTTGAGGCCCTGGTACTGACATCAGGGGACTGAGAGGGCCGTGTTTGTTTCAGGTCCTCCGCAACGTGGTGGGCATTGGAGTTCATATCATGCAGTCCTTTGAAAGACAGGCCTGCGGCTCATGCTTTCAAGTGGGAGCAGTGGATGTGGTTTGCTCTGGGAGTGGGAACTGCTGGTGATGGGTCCCAGGGTGTCTCTGAGTTGTTTCAGCAATCTTGGCCCTGACCAGCATTGACAAGCCATCTGGAAGCACCTGAGCCTGAAAGTGAAAGCTGAGGAAGTTCCTGTGTGAGGATGTGGCACCACGGATCAACTACAGGGTGCAGCAAAGCTGAGATTGTGACCTTGGTGATAGCAGAGGCTCATTGCTCTGTTTCAGCATCTGCCACAGAGCCCAGCATATAATAAAGGCTCGATGTATGGTTACTGAATACATGAGGGAAACATGGTGGGAATCAATGGGTTTATGAACTAGCTAGGCTAGAATCCCTTTTGGGGTTTTCTCCTCTGTAGAGACTCCCAGGCATTTGGAGGAATAGTTTATCCCCCAGTGGTCAGCTTGGGTAATAGAGGCAAATCCACGTCTTCTGCAAGAACAGGTTGGAAGCAGTCAGGACCCATCTTTTCAGTTAGTAGACTGTGTGGCTAGAGCAATTTCATATAAAAACTAGGAAACAGGATTTGTATTGCTCCACTGAGAAGAGGAACAAGCTATCGATGCTGATACTCAGCTCCACCCTCATGCATGGGGAGATCAAGTCCCCCGAGGGTCCCTCTGGCCATGGCACTGGCTACTTCTGGACTGGCTTTGACAGTTTCTCTTCAAATCGATGACAAAGAATGACTTTATTTTGGGCAATAAATTGGTATTCTAATGAACATGGTCATAATATAGTTGACAGATTATGTGGATGGCAATTTCCCTCCTTGTGGAGTCTCCAAAGGCTTGAAGTATTTCCTTATTTAAATTTTCGAACTTAAAACAAAATTGAAAGACTTTTACAAAGGTGGGATGTTTTTACCTGCATACCTATCTCTTAGATTCTATCATTAACGTTTACTATCTTTGCTTTATCACATATCTATATATTTACCCATCTCCCAATCCATCCATTCATTCATCTTAGGTTTTTGATGCATTTCAAGGTAAACTGCAGACATCAGTACACTTCCCACTGATTCCTTCAGCATTCACATCCTTTACTAAAGTTCAATATTTATCTACAGCTTTTTTCCTTTTGAGGTAAAATTTATATACAATTAAATACTCAAATCATAAGTGAATATTAGATGAATTTTGATAAATGCATATGAAGATATGGAACATTCTCATCACACCCTAAACAGTTCCTTGTGCCCCTTCACCATCAATTTTGATTCCATCCATAGGAAACTACTGCTCTGTGGGGACTTTTTTCCACCAGAACGTCTGTCAGTGTGGTTAAAGAATATGTACTCTTTTGCATATGGCTCCTTTTGCACTCAATAAAGTATTTTTGGGATTCATCCATGTTGTTTTGTGTGTCAACAGTTTGTTCCTTTAGCCATTCCATGGAATGAATGTATCACAGTTCATTGCTCCATTCTCATGTTGACAGACACTTCAATGTTTCTAGTTTTTGTTATTACAAATAAAAGTGCTATAAACATTTTTGTGTAAATCATTTTGTGGACATATGTTTGAATTTCTCTTGGATAAATACTTAAGAATTACTGAGTCATAGAGTGGGTAGTTGTTCGGTTCTATAAGAATCTGCCAGACTTTTTTCCCCCACAGTGTTTATACTATTGTACATTCCAACCATTCATATATGAGAAGGGAGAAACCTTTAGCTACTTCCAAAGAGGCTTTTCTACGTATGTGTAAATTTTTCCAACTGGAGACAGGCTGATGACTTCAGGGACATGAGCATGGGATACAGGACACCTGTCATCACCACCACCATCAAGTTGGGATTCGGGAAGGAGGTTAATCATATAAGAAATCCTGTGACCAGCATGAGCTCCTGTCAGACCACACAGGGCACTGGAGTGAACAGGGCACAGGGGGCCCTGGAGTCATGGTAAGAAAGTGTTTCATTGGTAAAACCTTTTCCTTTGGGGAGGTAAATAAATTATTTCTTCCTTCTTGGTAGCCCTTGAAGATAAGGATGGTCAAACAAAATAATATCATACCTGGAGAAACTCAGATCTTGGTAAGATTTACTAGTTAGGAATCCAAGGTTAATGCCAAGAAGCAGCCACCAGTTGGGATCAAATGTGAGCCTATGGATCAAGGTGCATACTCAGACACAGAGAGCTTTCTGAAAGATGCTACCAGTAATTTTTCCAGGGCAGAGATGGGTCCTTTATTTTTCTCTCTAATCTAGCCCATATGCTTAGCTGAGAAGGTTTCTTCATATCACTTTAAATGATGATGTACCTTGATTCTTTAGATAAAATTTTTATGAGCATTCTTTATTGCATTCTTTATTGCATTAGGATTAAAATTAATGCATTAAATTAATGCATCTTAAGGTTTTATTGCATAGTGTTGCTTTGTTTCCTTTTTAAGATGATACAATTTATAACATGCAAGTTTGCTGTCTGTCCCCTCCCTTTATGTACATAGAAAATGAGCAAACATGTGGCCATGAAACAGATGGTCATAGAATTGGTTCAGAGGTTGTGAGTGCAGTAACCCAGGAGTGTCTATTCTGAAATACCACCAGGAATGCCTGGACACAGTAGACAAAGGTGGTTCAACTGGATGCCTTAGGAAACATGCTTCCAAAAACAAAGTAGCTGAAAAGAGACCAGAATAACAGAATATCAGAGCCAGAGGAACATTTGGAGGTAATTCAGTACCTCCTTCTTTTCAACCTACAGGGGAGATAGTGGAACAGAAGCAGGGATGGGCCTGCCTGCTGTGCCCACAATTCATTGGAGATTGTTGTGGTGAAGAATTTCGTTTATGATGAGGGAGAAATAAACCCCCGTCAGCTTAAATTCGGGCAGGTTTATTGAAAAGCTGAAGAAGCATCTTGCAGAAGCAAAGCATGGCTGAGGCTTGTGGGCTCTGTCTGGGAAAATGAGCAGCCGACAATGGCTGATGCTGCCTCTAACTCTGTTGTTCCCTGTGAACATCTCTTCTCTTCTCTTGCATCTTCCCTCAGCCTGGCAGTCTCTGTATACTCTTCAACACATAATTGAGCAAAGCTGTGCCAGCCCCAGTGCCACCCAGCACTTTAGGTCAAATTAGAAAGGCGTGAAATAAACTGGCCTGTTATAATACAGCTGTTGAAATAACAGTTGAAAATACAATATCTTGACTCCTGGTTGAGTGCTTTATGCTGAACTTTCTTTTCTGAAGAGAGCACAGACTTTGGGATATCAGAATACATTATGTTTCTTGGTTATTTGGGGTTTATGGTTTTCATGAAGCTTTGAAAGTTTTCATCTAGTATGTTTTAAATATTTTTCTATCCCTCTTATCCACTCCATTCCCTTCAGGGATTCCATTTAGTAGAGTGTTTAAAGTTTTCCCATTGATGGGCTTTTTATTTCTTAAATTCATTTTTTCCTGTGTATTTCATTTGTGTTCATTTCTATTGCTATTCCCTCTAATTCATTAACCTTTTCCTCTGCAATGTTCAATCTAGTGCATTTAAAAAAAAATTCAGACAGTAAAATGTAGTTTTCACTCATGGAACTTGATATTTTAAAAGTATCTCCCACATCTTCACTTAATTAAAATTGTAATAACTGCTGTAATGTCCTTGCCTGCTATTTCTAACATATGTGTCATTTTCAATGAATTATTTCATTCTTCATTAAGTCTCATGTTTTCCTGCCACTTTGCCTGTTTGAGATTCTGGGATTTGATGCCACACATTTGATGTCAATGCCTAAATGTGCCCAGTGACACAACTCAGCTTCAGTGTCTGTGCACACCCAAGATTGTGCAGCAGGAGAGGCAGAGAGAGCAGAGGTGAGTGTGCCACACATGGGGGTAGGGAGTACTTCACTTGTGCTTGGGGCTTTCCTCTGCCTCACTGAAAAATATGTGTTCATTTTCTTTTCCATAAGACCTGCCCTACTTCAGGCCCTATCCCTCCAATGATCAGGACAGTCCTCTTTCCAGTCTCAGCTCTCCAATGGACGGACAATGGTTCAAAACAATTCAGGAGAGAAAGCATTGTCTTATCAACAAATTGTGTTGAGAAAACTGGACATCCATAGGCAAAAATAGAAAAAAATTCACAGATGCTGGTGAGGTTTTGGAGAAAAAGGAATGCTTTTACACTGTTGGTGGGAGTGTAACTGTCAACCATTGTGGCAGACAGTGTGGTGATTCCTTAAAAATATAAAGGCAGAAATACCACTTGACCCAGCAATCCTATTACTGGGTATATACCCAAAGGAATATAAATTATTCTGTTATAAAGATATATGCACACATATGTTCACTGCAGCACTATTCACAATAGCAAAGACATGGGATCAACCTAAATGCCCTTTAATGATAGACTACATAAAGAAAATGTGGTGTATATATACACATGGAATACTATGCAGTCACAAAAAGGAATAAGATTATGTCCTTTTCAGGGACATGGAGGGAGTTGGAAGCCATTAGCCTCAGCAAACTAACACAGGAATAGAAAACAAAACCCTGCATGTTCTCGCTTATAGGTGGGAGATGAATGATGAGAACACATAGACAGATAGGGTAGGGGTGGAGACAACACATCCTTGGCCCTTTCGGGGGGTGGGAAGTGGGGAGAGGGAGAGCATCAGGAAGAGTAGCTAATGGATGCTGGGCTTAATACCTAGGTGATGGGATGATCTGTGCAGCAAAGCACCATGGCACACATTTACCTATGTAGCAAACCTACACATCCTGCACATGCACCCCTGAACTTAAAATAAAAGTGGAAGTAAAAAACAACTAACAAAGAAAGAAAAAAAATCCACTTAAACATCCATACTTGCACAAAAACTAACTCAAAATTGATTATACAACTAAATGTAAACTGCAAATCTAGAAAACTTACAGTAGAAAACGTAAGAGAAAATTTTCATGATGTAGGCACGAAGTATTCTTAGTTATCGTATCAACACAAACTATTAAAGAAAACATTGATATATTCAACTTCATAAAAATTAAAAATCCTTGGTCAGCACAAGACATCGATAATAGAATAAAACATATGCTACAAATTGGGAGAAAAATATGAAAATCCCACATATGATGAAGGACCTGTATAATGGTTAATTGTGTGTGTCACTGTGACCAAGCCCCAGTGTGCCAGGACATTTGTTCCAACATTATTCTGGGTGTGTGCTGGAGGGTGTTTCTGGATGACATTAACACTGGAATAGGCAGACTAAGTGAAGCAGACTGTCGTCCCTAATGTGGGTGGGCCTCATCCAATCAACCAAAGGTCAGAGGAGAAGGAAAGGGCCTAATAAGAAGGAAATGCTTTCCTGGGTATCCAGCTTTCCATCTTGGGAATTGCAGCCTCCATAATCATATGTCCAAATTTATATGTATACACACACACACACACACACACATACAAGTACATGCATTATACATATATATATATATATATATATATATGTATACACACATTTCATAAGTAGGAAGGATTGTATTTTTAAAAGTTCAGTTATTCAATGATAGTTGCTGAGCTAGCCAATGAATATGAGGGAGTTCTATTATATGATTCTGTCTCCTTTTTTATACTATTGAAATTCCGCATTTGAAGAAGTAGGATAGGATAACAGCTGATTTTCTTAACATACACTTCAAAGCCCTAGGAATTAGCAGGGAGTCAAAAATACCACCCAGAACCCTGCCCCTAAACACCAGGACTAAACAACCCTGTAGCCCTCAGGTGATTTTCTTTAGCAGGGTCTGGGAGCCACACAACTGCAGAGGGAGCAGGAAACACTACTCGAATAGAGGCCAGGACAGCAGGGAGGGCCTGTTCATGACAGAACACAGGTAAAACTATCCTCAGAAAGTGAGTGTGAAGAAAGACAGATCATGCCTGAGACCTGGTAGTAAAAAATAATAAGCAAAGAAAGAAACAAAAGCTACCAAAACATCCATACTTGCACTAAAACTAACTCAAAATTGATTATAGAACTAATCAATCCATACTTACACTGGCTACTGGGGAATTGAAAGGAAGGGGCTTCACGGTGCAGAGGACCAGAGGTGGCAAGCTCGGAAACCCAGAATTGCTGGGAGATGGGGAGGTGTGGACAAAGGAAGCATCCTCTGGAGACTTGTGGTGAAGAGAATGAATGAAGTAACTGGCAGAAATTAGAGGTCCTGGTAGAATGAAACAGAATCCCAGAATGAGAACACACACCATCCCTGTCCCCTAAAGCAAGACATTTTCTAAAAACTCAAGAAAAATTATTTTTGGCAAGTACCTTATATCTAGTCATGTGCACCATATACCAAGGCAGTGGGAAAACGTTATTAAGCAAAACTCAGCGAGACCCTATTCCCTCATGAGGACTCTCCCAAGAATAAATTCCCTTCAACAAGTGATGCCCAGGACACTCACTTTTGAATAGTTCATGAGCATCAGCATGTTTAATTGTGGACCTAAACCAAAAGCCAAGGTGGAGGCGAGGTGGGAAACACAGGCTGTCACTGGTATATGCTTGGGTTGAACTAACACTGTAAGAAATGGCAGGTTAAGAGGTCAGAGAAGAGGAAAATAATATCTTTGGTTGTCATAGTGGTAAAAATTTAAATTCAAAAGATATGATTAAAAATTTATAAACCAAATATTAGAAGTGTGTCAAGTTAAAAGGGGACTAGTGATGTCAAAACATTTTTAGTGCAATGTTTAACATGAGCTACACAACCCTTCCTAAATAACAAACAAAAGGCACACACACACACAAAGAAAAAATAGCATTGATAAAGAAATGTAGTAAATACCATCTACTACTGCATATGATAAATGTAGACTAAAATATGGAAGAGTTTAAAATGTAAACAGGGAAATAAGAATGTTTTTATTAATCTGTATCCTTATCCACCAAAACCAATCATCATAAAAGCTTAAAACATTGTATGTAAAAAAAAAATCTACTAGTCCAGAATGATAGGCAAGAATATTTTAATTAAACAGATTTAAAACATAAACATTTTAACTTTAATAGACTAAAATTAGTCCTGGATGAAAGTTAAAATTTGGGCAGGGAATATTCTTTTTCACAACAGAATGCCAACAGAAATAAGTTTATAGTAAGAACTGAGATAGAAATTTCCAATGTACAAACATAAATATAATAACTGACACAGCCAGGGGTGATTGATTGATGATGAAATTCTCAGAGGAAGATTGTTAGAATATGGGGTATTTATCCTTTTTCAAACCACTTTCCAAATTAATTATAAATAAGGTGTCTTTACAAAGGACAGATCTCCCAGATCCCTCCTTAACCACGTAACCAGTCCTGATATAACAATAATGGTGACAGACAAACCGGAGGTTGTCTGCCTGCAGATGAGCTGAGGTGGGAAACTCACAGCATTGACTCTGCAGTGTTCCTGGCAAAATGTTTAGGCTGAATTTAATCATAAGGAAATTTTCTGACAACTTCAGAATGAAGACCATTGAGCCAGACAGCTGACCTGTCCTCTACAAACAAGTCCATGTCACCACCATCAATGACAACAACAAAAAGATGAGGAGATACTTTGGGTTCAAAATAACTAAAGAAGTGTAGCTACATTATCTTTCTGCCCAAAATGTCTCTTCTCCTTTTTGTTGTGTGATTTGTGGTGACGTGGACTGTGTGAAGGAGACACGTCAGTTGTCCTGCTCAGTGTTCTACATTCTGCAGTTGTCTGGTGATTACCTCCTATGAAACTCAGGCTAAGCGTTTTCAGCAAGAACATGGCATTGTTCATATTCTGCACCGGCAGAGTCTCAGGTGACATACTGTCTCCTGCCAGCAGCTCCTGACTCCTGTTCTCTACAGGATGGAATTGAGAGGAGCAGGGCTAAGGCCTCTCAATGCTGTTTGTCCATCCGGGAATTGGTGTCCTTGGGTATTCATCACAAGTGGAAATGGGACGGATTGTGGTTTCTCAAATCAATGGATCCTAGTGGGTTGAAATCATCAAGAGCGTTCTGTGTCTAAAATTCAGTCCTCAGCAAAGGACCCCTGCAGTGTTGTATTTGAACTTCAACTTGCTTTGCTGTTTTAGTTTTTTTCATCAAGCGGAAAAGCTACTTTTTGTGACATCTTTTCATCTTTTTCATCCTTCCAGCAGTATTTGGTATCTGTAGGAGAGAGAAAAGAAAAAATGAAAAGAGCATCTATGTCAAGTCCTGCTAATGACTGAGTCTGGAGGGATTGTTAAGTTGTGATAGCCCAGGGGCAAACTGAGCTCCTGCTGGGAGGATGAGCTGAAGCCTCAGCCTCTGGCTAGCTGAAGGGGCAAGTGCCATCCACAAGTGAGAAGAAAACACCGCTGAACTTCCAGTCAGCCTGGAGGGCAGATATGAGGACCTGCCTATGCCCAACCAGCAGCCGATGACCCTTTCGTTCTGATCCTCTTTGTCCGGAGCAGTGATGGCTTTTCACACCTCCCAGAGAGGATGTGCTCAGCGTCTACCATGCACACTCAGAAGCAGAGGGCTGTAGAAGGAGAGGGCCCTTTGCAGAGAAACCCACCCCCTTACAACTCCATGTCCCAGTCTTCTGGGAAGGAGCGGGAGAGCAGACTATGGGAAGAACCTGGACGTGAGAAGCAGCAGGGGCCTCAGACAATACCCACAAATAGGGAAGAGAACAGCAGTGGGAGAATGAGCTGTCATCATAGACAGAGAGAAATAAGGAGTGAGTGCCGCTAAGAGCCATAGATGTGATTACTTTCCTACTCTAAGCTTGCAGGCCAGGGAATCTGCATGCCAGTCTCCACCTGCTGAACGGCAGTTTTCTTTTGATCATTTTCGGTTTTAGGACACTTGAGGCATGAATGTGGCCAATGACTTGATGCCCATGTGTGTTGTCGGTTGAGCCTTCAAGAGCATCACCTTCCAGCTGGGGAGGGTTCTTCATTCCAGGAGGCTCTAAACCCAGCTCTGAAAATGAAACCACAGACAATGGGATCCACTGGCATCCGTGTTCTCACTGTGACTTTCCTCCTACCCAAAGAACATCAAATAAGGAAAAGTGGCATCCAAAGCCAATGGAGTCACTTTGATATTTTCTTTTTGTTGATCTTTCTTACATTACCCAGTAATGACAAGATTGCCAGGAAGCAAAGACACTCCCACTTCACAAAAATATTCAAACAACAGAGGATTGAGAAACACAAATAGATTACAGGTAGATAAGGCAAGGAAATCACACTGTATCTAGATTGTGCTTTTGGGAAGGAAGAGATTATAAAACTCAAGCAAAATCAAAGTGAAATCAGAACTGAGCTCAAATAGGAGAAGGCGATGGCAGGGCCTGGCAGGGCCTGGCCGGGCGGCAGCCCATGGGGCACAGAGGTGAGATCAGACAGCGGTGACAGCAGCTGATGAGAGAAAAGAACCAGGAAGACTAAACATGGAGAAGTTACAAAACTTGCATCATTATATGATCTCCTGCATGTATATATACCCTATATAACATACATACCAAATATGCTTAATATATATGACAAATGACACAAATGTATATATCCATATATACATATTAATCTAATAAAAGTATTATACAGGGATTTGGGAGCTATTGAATGTAACAGTATAACCACTCTTCTTGTCCATAAAAATTGGAAAAAAATAGAAATATGAGAATATTGAGAAGAAAAAGTGTGGTGAGAAACAAATGACCAGTTGGAAAGCCAGGAGAAATCACCAGGTGAAGGAAAAGAAAACAAAAGGCATTCATTCTGTCCTCTTACCTGGAGCCTGGTTCATGCTCTAGACTCCAGGGAAAATGAGCAAGAGAGGGCGTGTCTGAGCCAGTGGGGTGAGTCTTGGCTGGGGGTGAGGGAATCCATGGAGAAACAAAAGAGATTCCAGTGGGAAGAAATATGTTTAAATATTCGAAGTTATCACGGCACATGTCAGGGACTACGCATTCCCTGACACTCACTGAGCGCCTTCCGTGTGTCCTCTTCAGGGACCCAGATGGTGCTCGTTACATCACGTGACCCTCCCTCCTCCTGAGGACATGGGTCTCCTTATTCTTCAGCTGAGGGCATCGCCTGACAGATGAGCACCAGGCAGCCCCAGGGGCTCCAGGAGGAGATATTGAGTGGGACAGAGAGTAAGGATGAACACAACCCAGGGTTTTAAGGAAATCTGAGCAGAAGTGGATCCCTGGAAGAAAGAAACTGAGGACGTGGCTGTGGACATAGTAGAGATGATGAACTAAATGGAGTTTCATAAAAGAGACTGATGTGTACACTTTCCATGAGAAGGTTGCCCTTTTATTTCAAAAAAAGCTGAAAAAGCAGAAGAAGCTGGATACGTCAGAAGACTGACTTGAGGGCCAGGATTTACACTTTTACTGAATGTGCCTAATAGGTTATTACTGAAAGTGTCTGGTAAAGGAAGATTGGCCTCATAAGGGATGGGTAATGAGAGGAAGAAAGCTGGCAAAGGAGACTTTCTAAGAAAGCAATGGAAGAGGGGTCCCCAGAAAGCAGAGATCCTAACAATTGCTCTACCGCAGACGAAACACCGCATGTGAAGTCACTTTCTAAGTGCGAATTTGCCAGAAAGAGAAAAGGATTCGATATCATCTATTCATAGGTTTATTGAGCAATTGTTACTGAATCCGGCCCTCTGGAAATTATCATAATTAATACTCTCAATAATGATTACAGGTAGATATGATTTTTCAGGTATCTCATATGAGGGAACTGAGATGTAAATAGCAAAAAGATAAAAACTTTGGCCAAAGTGAACAACTAGACAGTGGCAAAGCCAGGGCCTGAGAGCAAATTTGATCCTAAGCCCCAGGCTCTTGCTCACCTCACTGGGTTGGAGCATCGTGGATTTCAACTTGACTCTGAGGGAGCATGAAGAGGCCCCACTGTCTCCTCCACCCACAGTACCATGACCACCAACACCCGGATTACAGCTTCCCGGTCCCCTTTCCTTCCCTACCTTGGAAGGGCCATTGCTTCCCAGGATCAGCGTTGGCTGTGAAGCTGCAGGTGGTGGAGGAAAGGCCCCGCCTGGCTAAGCCATAGCCACAGTCAAACCCTTGATCCAGCTGCAGTTGCAAAGAATTGGGCACCAGGGTTCTCGGCTCCGGCTGTGCCTGTGAAGCCTGCATCTCTGACAGGTGGTGGCCGATGTCTCCACTCCAAGGCCCGTGGGGACAAGCTGCCTGGGTGGGAGCTGAAAGAGAAGGGTCTTCAGTAGGAACAACCTCATTTGTTACGCATGCCCAGAACGCCTATCCTTGATGTCCCTGCCTCTCAGTAAAATCACCCAGTGACCAGGCCACGCAGACCGACATCATGTAAATGCAGGCATGGTCACCTTTCCTGTTTGTGCCTGGGGATGCTGAGATGGCAGGTGCCCTGGCTGGGCGTCCCTGAAGTGAAATACCCCTGTTTCAGCCCAGAGGGCTTTGGATTGGCTAACAATGTCATGCTAATTATTCTGTCATTATTGATCTCTTTCCAGTGTTCTAGAGGGAAAGTTCTAGAAAGCCCTCAGAGCATAGGAGAGGAGAAGTTGTTTCTCTCCACACACAGGGGTATAAGAACAAGGCAAGAGTTAGAGCCGCGAGGCTTTGAGAAAGAACCATGGAAAAGGGGGCTGGGATCCTATAGACCAAATACTAAATGAGGAAAGCTTTTCAGGGTTCCGGGACATTTTGAATTTCCTATTGCCTATAATGGTTTTACCACCTGCCCACACATATACATCTTATTGCCACATGAAGGGTCTCAGCAGCCATAAGCAAAGTATTAGAGGGACCAGTCCCTTCACAGACACTTAGGGGCCACAGGTATTACGGATCAGCGTGTGTGGTTCCGTAGGGAGAGAACACCGAGCACAGTCCTCATCTTACCCGCTCCTCCAGTGGAGTCCAGGCAGCACCCGTCATAAATATTATCGCTATTTCCACAGGAAGAGGAAATCACACTCTCAGAAAGTGGACTAAGGAAAGACTTCCGGTGGCCTCACGCCAGTCCAGATCTGCCTCAGAAGAGGGATGGGGTGCGCAGGGCCTGATCCACGTTGCTGCAGGGCTCCTCTCTCTCCTCCCCTCTGCACATCCTCATTCTCATCAAGATTTCTCTAAGTTTTCTTAAAAATGCCTTCCATGTATCTGTTCTCTTTCATCTTCCTGAGAGGACAGTGTATCAGACTCATCACTGATGCCTGACTTCATACACCCCTGCAACTGCTTTCTCTGATTCTGCCATCTCCACACGAGCAATTATACCACAAGCAATTTATCACCCAAAGGCCCTGTTCTTTCCACGTTTCTACTCTGCTTCTGAAAACTCTCCGCTGCCCACTGCGCCACTCTCCCCGCTCACTCTGCCTGTGTGCTCCTACTATCTTCTGCCCCATGATCCTATCCAGCATCACCTCCCACCACTCCCTCACACAGAGTCTCCCCTGGGGTCAGGCTGGCTGCTCCCTGGCCCAGCCCTGCACAGGGTGCCTTCCAGTTTCTGCGTCTTTGTCCAGAAGCACTTCTCTTGGCTTGGTGTGGCCTCCTTAGTTACTCAGGGCACAGTTTACTGATCGTTAACCATCAGTCAATCAGTCACTTAGGACACTCTAAGATTTTAAGATAGTTCACATTGGGCAAATGAGAACAACATGCTGAAACAACAAATCTCATTGGTGAAGACTGGGCAAACACAGGTCTCTCTTTCTGATCCTCTGCACTTGCTGTTTAGAATCAATGTCTAGGAATGTTTTTAATTATTACTACTTAATTTTGTCATGTCATTTTGCCCCTCTTTGCTAGACTACTGAGTCTTATTAAACTTATACTTTGAATATTCTTTGCATTTTCAGGAGAAAAGGGAAAATATTTTCTCAAGCTTCTAAAATACGGTAGTATTGTGAGTTGGGCAGGTGGGAAAAAGCGCTCAATTATAGATCAAGTGATCATTTAGGTTGTATTCTCCTTGGTTCTACCAAGCTTTCCTCTGTAAGGAGAGGATGGATGGAGCAGATCACCTGTGGAAACCGCTGCTGGGGTCAGGGCTGTGCACTGTGCACACTATTCACACACCATTGTCATGAACCCACACACAGGATGCATCCTTGTGTAATTTGACAGGTGCATTCATTCATCTCAACCCATCTGCATGGAGGATTGTGGCCTCCCCAGGCCCCTGTTTCATGATGCTCTGGCAGAGCCGGCCCATATCAGAGGCATGTCACTTCTGAGACATGTGTCTGAGCACTTCCCTTCCTCCTTGTAGAAGCCCTGTCCTGGTTGGGGTGTTCCTCAGACAGAGCCCTGCAGATATACAGGGGCTCAAGGATGGCCAAGTTGAAACCCTGGGGACAAGGGCTGGGGAGAGACTAAGACCTTTCATCCCCTGTGTGATTTTCCAAGGAGAGCCCCATAGAGCTGTAGGTCCCCCTGGAGGGACTGGAGGAGCCACTAGCTCTGCTCACAGACAAAGCGCACAGAGGCATTCCTCCTTCGGGAATCTGCGCCAGGGGCTGCAGGAGTTCTTTGTACCAGGCTAGCAACTTTTCTGTTTCAACTTGAAATCATTCCAAATTAATTTCTACAAAAGAAAAAAGGGTGAGCACCCATGTCGGCTCAGCCCTGACACGTTCTCCCGCCAACACAGAAATAAATAACAGCGACTGTGCTCTGGAGTCAGGTAGATATGGGGCTTATGTTCCCACTGCAACTAGTCAAGACATACTGGGCAGGTGAGTGGACCTTTCTGAGCCTCGGCGTCCTCAGCTCTAACATGGAGATGCCACCGCAAACTTGGGAGCGTCCCTGGAGCACTGAACGAGTTACAGCAAGGACAGAGCTTGCTTAGCAAGGGGCCTGGCATACAGCCGATGCAAAGTCAATGTGTATTTTATTTCTGTTTCATGAATTGCTGTGATCCTAAAAAAAGCCTTTGCTTCTTTGAAACTCAGGGAGAAATGGAAAACAGGAAAGGAGATGGTCCCAACATCAAAGGCACTTACCAAAATAGATAGAGGCCAACATTTTTGTTGCTAGTTTCTTTTCTCTTTCTTTCTTTCTTTTTCTTTTTTCTTTTTTTGAGACAAGGTCTCCTTGTTGCTCAGGCTGGAGTGTGGTCGTACAATCGCAGCTCTCTGAGGCCTCAACTTCCCAGGCTCAGATGATCCTTCCACCTCAGCCCCCCGCATAGTAACTGGGACTACAGGTGTGTGTCACCATGTCCTGCTAAGTTTTTGTAGAGACAGTGTTTTTCCATGTTGCCCACACTGGTCTCAATCTCCTGAGCACAAGCAAGCCCCTTCCCTCGACCTCTCAAAGCGATAGAATTACTGAAGTGAGTCACTGCACCTGGCATTGTTGCTAATTTCATTATAAAATATTCATATATTTTGGGGGACATCACAGAGTTCCTTGTTCTTACTAGAAGATGATTTGATGGGTAAAATTCCCAACAATCAGGCCAGGCATGGTGGCACATGCTTGTAATTCTAGCACTTTGGGAGGCCGAGTCAGGCAGGTCACCTGAGGCCAGGAGTTGGAGACCAGCTTCACCAACATAGTGAAGTCCCATTTCTACTAAAAAGGCAAAATTAGGCCAGTCACGGTGGCTCATGCCTGTAATCCCAGCATTTTGTGAGGCCAAGGCGGGTGGATCACCTGAGGTACGGAGTTCGAGACCAGCCTGGCCAACATGGTGAAACCCATCTCTACTAAAAATACAAATATCAGCCAGGCATGATTGTGGGTGCCTATAATCCCAGCTACTTGGCAGGTTCAGCAACAAGAATCACTTGAACCCAGGAGGTGGATGTTGCAGTGAGCCAAGATCGTGCCACTGCATTCCTGCCTGGGTAACAAGAGCAAGACTCCATCTCAAAAGGCAAAAATTAGCTGGGCGTGGTGGCAGGCACCTGTAATCCCAGCGACGCAGGAGGCTGAGGCACAAGAATTGCTTGAACCTGGGAGGTGGAGGTTGCAGTGAGCCAATACCATGCCATTTCACTCCAGCCTGGGTGACAGAGTGACTGCGTTTCAAAAAAAAAAAATAGAATGAGCAAGAAGAAATGAACGTTGGATATTTTTCTCTACACATCCTGTGAAGCTGCTGTCTCAAGGGGAAGTTGCTAAGAGGAAGGGTTTTCTGGAGATCATGGGGACGGGAACCACTCTGCTTTGTTCATCAGATATACGAGTTGTCAATGGCTTCTGTGAGAATATAGCACTGAGACCAACACGTGGTTGAAACTACAATCCCATCCATGTAAAATCTACTAGCGCTCTACAGAGGATGTAAGCTATGGCCTTGCATGGAGGAAAGGACACTAGACTGCTTCAGTGGAGGGAAGCTACCACAGAGGAAATACAATAGCAGTCACCAACCTTTTTGGCACCAGGGACCAGTTTCAAGGAAGACAATTTTCCACGGAGCAGGGTAGGGGGAATGGTTTTGGGATGATTCAAGCACATTACATTTATTGTGCACTTTATTTCTATTATTATCACATTGTAATACATAATGAAACAATTATACAACTCACCATAATATAGAATTATTGGGATCCCTGAGCTTGTTTTCCTGCAATTAGTTAGTCCCATCTGAAGGTGATGGGAGACAGTGACAGATCATCAGGCATTAGATTCTCATATGGAGCGCACAACCTAGACTCCTCACACGCACAATTCACGATAGGGTTCAAGCTCCTATGGGAATCCAATGCTGCTGATGATCCAACAGGAGGTGGAGCTCAGGCGGTAATGCTCACCCACTGCTCACCTCCTGTGCGTCATGAACCAACACAGGTCCATGGCCCCGGGGGTTGGGGATCCCTAAAGTAGAGAATCTAGCTTGGGACACAGAAATCTTGAAATAGACCTCCAAAATAATTGAGCAAGACTGCAAGCACATGTGGGTGGCCAGAAAAGAGATAAGGGCACTGCTCAGGGCAGCAGTTAGCAACATAATTTCAGAAAAGAGAGATGCCCTATCTTAAAGAATGACACCATCTGATCTTCGACAAACCTCACCAAACAAACAATGGGGAAAGGATTCCCTATTTCATAAATGGTGCTGGGAAACCTGGTTAGCCATATCCAGAAAACTGAAACTGGACCCCTTCCTTACACACCAGCTATAAAAAAGATTAAGATCATGTCCTGTGCAGAGTGAATGACATGGATGAAGCTAGAAACCATCATTCTGGGCAAACTAACAAAGGAATAGAAAACCAAACACCACATGTTCTCACCCATAAGTGGGAGTTAAACAATGAGAACACATGGACACTGCGAGGGGAACAACACATGCCAGGGCCTGTTGGGGGTTGAGGGGAAAGGGGAGGGAGAGCATTAGGAGAAATACCTAATGTATGCGTGGCTTAAAACCTAGATGACGAGTTGATAGGTGCAGCAAATCACCATGGCACATGTATACCTATATCACAAACATGCACATTCTACACATGTATCCCAGAACTTAAAGTAAAATAAAATGAAACAATAAAAAAAGAAGGTCTGTTATACAGATTTCTCCAGGTAAGCTACTGTTGTCAAGATTTTGCAATGATCCCTCACCATCCCCTTCTCTGGTCTGTTTGGATACGCACAGCCTGCTCTTGTGAGAAGATGCCAGGTGACAGATGAGCCAGTTGGGACAGAAGAGGAAGTTCCACCTAGTGGATGTCTGTGCTTAAAACTAGATCCAAGAGCCAGATTCAAAACAGGCTCAGTATACAGGGCCTGCCTACAGAGATGAACCGCCTCAGCTGCACAAGTTGCACGAAGCAAAACAGATAGGGGCTGCCTGGGAGAACGGTGGAGCTTTGTGACCTTCAGGCTGGAGTACTCACAGGCTATATCTAGAGCAGAGCAGGCGAGCTGATCCTCCAGTGAGTACAAGGTGCCGCTATAAGCCTGGTGGCAGTCACACAGGTCATGAGGAACCAAAGGAGTCAAGTAAACTTCATCCAGGGAGTTCTCTGGGACCTCCTGCTCCTCCACCTCTAGCAGCTCCTGCCTCAGTCTGGTGGGTAAAGACGACATAAGGTAAACACCAGAGATAACCAAAACCACTGTACTCAGCTGGGTCTATAGGGAGGCTCACAGGAGGGACCAGAGGAAGCAAAGGACAGTCCCCTCAGAGAGATACAAGGATGCTTCCCTGTCTCGAGCAGGAGACAGAGAGCAGCAGGTGCTCAGTGCACTGGGCAGACAATGAGCTGGGGAGGAAAGAGATGGAACAATCCCTGTGAGAAATGGCCATGACACAGTGCATGCAGCACTTTTGCATACATTTGTTGAAATTAGCATCACTGGCCAAATGAATACAGCCTCGTAAGGCTTCACAGACAGAGTGAGTGCATCCTCAACATCCCTTGCTCTCAATATCGTAGCAGGACATGAGTAATTTTCACTCACTTTCCTGCTATCAAATACTTGCAAACATGTTATTGTCAAAGTGGCAGACATCAGATGTGCACCTCTTCTTCACTTTAAGCAAAAAGGACAGAAAAGAGGACCACAGAAAATGTCTGTGACTGATCAGTTCAACAGAGTCAACTGAATGCAGACTAGTACAATTTACAGGGATAAAAATAAGGAGAAAAAACAAATATAGGTATACAATGAACAGAGTCAACATTATGAACATGGCTATTTCATGGTTGGCTGAACAGATGAAACAGGTATATTCAGCACACTCTGATTTTCCCTGCGTGTGGAGTCTCCAGATATCAACACTGAATTGACTGTCCATGATTCCTCAGAGTTACCTGCGGCACGGTGGGTCTTGGTCTGCTAGCTCCTCTTGATCCTTGTTAATTTCTGCAAATAAATTCAGACAGGGACAGACACATTAAGCAGGTTCCCCTACACACACAAACAATCCACTGTGCAATCCTAACATAGGAACATCGGTTTCCTCAGTGGGAGAACAGGACACTGTGAGAGAAATATTTCCGGAGGCCTGAAGTCCTGTCATGAGAGAGGTGCTCTGGGTTTCTTCCCTAAGCCTAGGGGTGAGATCTCCCTGTTGTGGTAGATCATCATCCCAATATCATCACTCCTGATTTTGTGCAAAGAGTTATGCAACATTTTTCACACCAATTTAAAGCAAATACCCCAACTGCTTTCTAGCGGAAATACCTAACTTTCTATCATTAAATACCCACATCGTTCATGGTTGCGAGGATGTTTGACATTGAAATTAGAATGAAGGGAGGAATCAACAGACTCTTGAATCAAAATGAATCTTTGGTGCTATAAAGAAACATTGGCTATTCGTGCCATCTAGGAGTGACGAGGCCCAGTCTTGCTTCTGCAAACATAACAAAAGGTAATGGACTGCTCTGCTAAGACAGGCCAACATCGAAGACACAGAGAATGAAGCTTGATTCATTGAAATCTGGGTAATATCGCTAACAGAAATGTAGTCAAAGATGCCACTGGCCTTGGGCAGGCATAGAACCTGAAGGAACATGGTTGGGGAAGGAAACTTGTAAGGAACACAATAGCTGGCAAGACAAAGTTTATTCAGATTAAGAGGCCTGACAGACACCTGTTGGGCATGTGTTACATACATTGGTGTGAATTTTTCACACCTGCTTGGGGTCCAGTGTCCTAACAGTTGATCCAGGATGCCACAAGAATGGCCTGAGACTAGGAAGAGGCCAAAGTTCATGGACCCAATCTTACGTCTTTGTTTCAGACTCGATTCCAGAGGGATACAAATCTACATGTATATCTAGGTCCAGTTCACAGTGTTGACAACTCTCAGTCCAGCCACGGGTGGGAGGCCCAAGGATTTTGGGGTCCACCTAGGACTTACATCACCTTCACAACGGAGTACTCACTGTCTACGTCAAGAGCCACGCAGGCTTGCTGTTCCTCTAATGAATGCAGGGCACTCCTCATATCAGACTGGTAGGAGTCAGTCAGGTCAGGAGGGATCGGAAGAGTCGAGTCAGCTTCATCCCATGACTCCTGAGGGACTTCATGCTCCTCCACCTGTAGCAGTCGCCTATTGAGCCTGTTGGGGTAGGAAGGTCTAAAAATTAATCCATGGAAGATCAGGTGCCACAGAGGTCTATCTGAATTTGGTGGAAGGTTTGAGACAGTGGTTGCAGAAATCAGAGATGGGAATCTATTTAAAAGGAGGAAAAGTATCCTCTAATTTGTAGGATACAGTGTGGCTTCCAAGGGAATGTGGTGTGGGGCTGTGCTCAGGGAACTGGCCAGATTATAAGGCGATGGGGAGGGAGAAAGGAAGCCCTCTATTATCACCCTCATGACACACAGTATGGAGAGATTACTAAAGCAGTGGCTTCAGTGGTTTTCCATAAAATGAGTTGAAGTTGATATGCAATAGGTACATGATTGTAGCATTAGAGGAAGTGTAGGCTCCAAAACCTTTCACCTTCAGGCAGGCCTCTTATTCTCAATATAGTGACAGGCTATGGTTTTTTTCTAGTTCCTTTTCCTATTACCAAAGTCCTAACACACGATGAAGAGAAACAAGCCAAAATCAAGTCTGCATCACACTGGTTGTGGCCCCGCACCCAAGAGAGAAGGGGCAATTGCAGGAGCTCCCTAGTCAGGTGTGTTGACCTGAGTAACCAACTGCAGGTTACTAAATGTCAGAGGGAGGAAGTAATGGGATCCTATGCAGGTACCACCATGAAAACAGACAATCTTATGACTAGGGATAATTTGTGACTTGCTGAGAGGATATATATATATATAGCACTTTCTGTTTTACCTAGGTCTGGAGTCTCCAGCTGTCAACAGTGAATGAACAGTCTACCCTGAGACTTACCTAGGGCACAGTAGTTGTTGGTCTTCCATCTTCTTTCGGTCATTTAGATTTTCTACAAATAAATTCAGACAGGGCTGTCACATTAAGCTGATTCCCCTCCACACATGTCCAATTCACTGTCCAGTCCTAACACAGAGTCATCTAACTTTCCAGTATGAGAACAGGATACTGTGAGAGACATATTTCAGGAGGCATAAGGTCGTGTCTTGAGAGAACTGGCTTATTGGCTTTCCTGAGCCATGGGGCAAAATCTGCCTGTGCTAGTAGGCCATCATCCCAACATCCTCCATTCTGAGTCTGGCCAAACAGTGAAGTAATCCTTTTCCCCACAGACTCTAGGCAAATAGCTAAATTGCATTGTATGAGGGAGACTGTAATATTCAGCCACCTTCACCAAATACTCAGGTTTTGATGATTTAGAACAGGGGCCCCCAATCCCCAGGCCACAGACCAGCACCGATACATGGCCTGTCAGGAACCAGGCCATAGAAAACGAGGTGGGTAGCAGGAGAGCCAACATTACAGCCTAAGTTCCAGCAAATCAACCTGTGTCTACGAGTGATGCCCACACCAATGACACGTCTAAGTCCAGCCAGGAGTGCGAGGTGCAAGGATTACAAAGTCTGCCTGGGGCACCAATAAGAGATTTATCATGTTCACAATGGAGTACTCACTGTCTACAAGAGCCAAGCTGACTTGCTTTTCTTCAAAAGAATACAGAGTTCTCCTATAAGGCTGGCAGGAGTGAGTCAGGTCAGGAAGAACAGAAGCAATCAAATAACATCCATCCAGTAACTCCCGGGGGACTTCATACTTGTCCACCCTCAGCGGTTCCCTGCTGAGCCTGCAGGGTAGGAAGGACTATAGATTAATCCAAAAAGTTTCAGAGCCCTAGCTGGATTTCATGTGAGGCATGAAGGAGCGATCACAGAAAGCAAATGGTCAACCCATTAAAGAGTTCAATATTCTCCTCTTCTTGGTGGGTTGCAGTGTGGTTGCCATGGGGTAGGTGAGCAATAGAGAGAGAGGGAAAGAGAGACAAGAGAGAGAGAAGCATCAGGTACTCCATGAATTGGCCAGATTATGATTTTCTGAGGCAGGAGACTGAGTGTTTCTGTATGGTACAGTCATGACTTACTGATTATCATGTCCCAGAACAGTGGTTTCATCCTTTTTTCTTAAATTGTATTGAATTTTATATGTATTGGCCAAGTAAGTACAGATTTTGAGGCATTATAATATCCCCAAAATCTCATGTCATCAAGTCCCCTTTCTCTTAATATTGTGGCATGGTATAATAATAATTTTTCTATCAAATTTTCTTGCCGTGGAATACTCACCACTGTGCTAATGCAAAACCAGCAGAAAGCAGATATGCATCTCAGGGTGGTTGAAACCATAAGAAGAACATATCTGCTTGCAGGAAATCTCTGTGACTGATTAGTTGTTCACAAGGTCAACTGGTTTTGTGTACGGAACTTGAGAAGTTAATAAGAAATTGCAAATAAGAAATGGCAAATAATACAAGTATCACAATGAAAACAGAAAACATTGTCCAAAAGGATCATTTCTGGTTGGCTGAAGGGATGCATTAGGTATATTCAGGACTTTCTGGTTCTCTGTGGATATGAGTTGTACAGATATCACCCTGAATTGACAGTTCCTGATTTTTCTCAATTACCTGGGAGCAATTGTTTCTTGCCTTTTCACCTCTTCAAGACCAAGTTGCTTTTCTGCAAATACATTGAGAGAAAACCAGTCACATGAACTTGATCCCATTCATACATGCACAAACTTGTGTCCAAACCTACACAGTGGCATAAATACACTCAGTGTCATAACAGCCTATTGTGAGAGGAACTTCCCAGGAGGCCTCAGCATGAGCCTTGTGAGAAGCCACTAGGTTTACATTCCTGAGCCATGGAGCAAATCTCCTTAACATAACAGGTCATCATCATAGTCCCTTCTGTCCTGAGCCACAGCACACTGTTAAACACATCCTTTTTTACTGAGAGATCCTGGGGATCCACTTCAATGCTTTCCAGGAGGGTTACTGCAGTATTCAGCATGCTTCCTTCGGATAGGTTACTGTTGGTGGTTTTGTAGAATTCACATTTAGATGGATAGATTGCGTCAAAAGAATCTCTCATGCTATGCAGAAACACTGGCCTTTCATCTTGTAGGGAGTTTCAGGGCCCAGCCTTCTTTCAGAGAAACATCGAAAGTCCAGTAGTGGTGTTCATGTTCTGGTACTCAGAGACTTCCTAGCTAAGGCAAGCCAACTAAAAAGAGACAGTGTATAGCCTGACAGAAAGGAACAAGAGTAATGACAGTCCCAGGAATATAGAAATGGCTGCCAATGGCCTTGGACAGCATAAAAACTCAGGCTGTTTGGGAGGGAAAAGTAGAAGATCCCATGTGAGATGACGGATTCAGTCTAAATTGGGAGGACTGATGGATAAATCCTGCATCCAGGCCGCAGGGGTGCATATGAACTTGTGAGGTCAACCTTGGGTACAGTGATTTGCTAGTGGGGCAAAGATGAAAGATGACATGTGATATGGGGCTAGGATGGAGCAAAACTCTCTGACTCATGGGATGCCTTCTTCAAACTCAATCCTAGAGCCTGGTTCTAACTAGTATATGAGTATAGGGTTCGCCTGACAGTATGGCATCTGTCATTCTAGACCGGTCGTGGGGTGCCAAGAATATGGAGCCTACCTGGGAAGCCAAGTGGGGTTTCCTCTCCTTTGGAATTGGAGTGTTCGCTGGCTACATCCTGAGCAGAGCAAACTTTCTGTTCGTCCAGTGCCAAGAAAGTGCCTTCGCAAGGCTGGTAAGATTGGGACATATCATGGTGACTACAGGAAGTCAAAACACTTTCCTCCAGAGAGTCCTGCAGCACTTCAGTCCTTCTCATCAGACTCCTGCAGCTTCCTGATGCGCCAGACAGGAGAGGAGTGACAAGAGGGATTCAACACCACAGCATCTCAGGTGGTTTCATGGGACACATAAGGAAGTGGTCACAGAAACCAAAGGGGTAGTCTCCTCCAAGAGAGAAAAATCTATCCTTCTAAATGTGGGGTGGATGTGACCGCCCTAGGGACAGAGCAAACGCAAGCAGCAGGTGCTCAGTGCGTTGGCCACAAACGAGCTGCTGCGGGAGGTCCCAGACTCTCCCTGTAAACCGCGATCACGACTTGCAGCGCAGAGAACTGACACAGGGCTTGGCTTCCTATGCTTAAATGTGTTGATGTTTACATGTAGCACCCAAGTAAACACAGCTCTTGAGGCATTCCAGATACACAGATCTTGTCTTTTCAAAGCCCATTTAAAAAATATTTTGACATAAATTACCATTTCCCTGTTTTGTAATTAAATACTTGCCAACACGCTGACATCAAATATGTAGAAAGCATACATGCATCTCACTCTGGATTAACCACATGGGAGAGAACAGGTGACATCCCTGAGTTTGGTTAGCTCACCTGGCTCAACTGATTGCATATTCCTATGCAAGGGGGGAATTAAGAAATTGAAACCTGGCCAGGCGCGGTGGCTCACACCTGTAATCCCAGCACTTTGGGAGGTAAAGGCAGGCAGATCACAAGGTCAGGAGATCAAGATCATCCTGGCTAACACGGTGAAACCCTGTCTCTACTAAAAATACAAAAAAAAAAAAAAATTAGCCCAGCATGGTGGCAGGTGCCTGTATTCCCAGCTACTTGGGAGGCTGAGGCAGGAGAATGGCGTGAACCCAGAAGGCAGAGCTGGCAGTGAGCCGAGATCATGCCACTGCACTCTGGCCTGGGAGACACAGCAAGACTCTGTCTCAAAAAAGAAAGAAAGAAAGAAATGTGTAACCTACTCAAGTACCACAATCAAAAAGACAGCATTGTTAAAACGTAGAATTTGCAGCTGGATGAATGGATGAGGCAGTTCTGTTTGTCACTTTCTATTTTTCCCTGGATCTACAGTCTCCCGGTGTCACTATCGTACTAACATCCCACAAATCTACAGAGTTACCTGGGGGGCACTGGCGCTTTCCCTTCCTCTTCCTCATGATCATTTCGATTTTCTGTAAACAAATTCAGAAGAGCAGGTCACATTAAGCAAATCACGCTTCACACAAGACCAAATCAGTGTCCAGTCATAGCACAAGGACATAAATATTCTCAGTGTAAGAAGTGATATTCTGACAGGAACGTTCTAATGTGCCCTAGATTAAGTCTTGACAGAAGTAGATGAGACTGCTTTTCAGATCCGTGGGACAAAATCTCCCTCATCTGGTAGATCTTAATCTTATATCCTCTGACCTGAGTCAGCACAAACAATTAAATCATTTTCCCTAAGATTTTCAAAAATTGCCCTAACTGATTTCCAGAAGTGCTGCTGCAATACTGATTTATCTCTTCATATATCATGGTCAATGAATGGTTAGAGAAATTTATATAGAAAATGGAACTGATAGATTAATTCTAACAACTTTTGCTTAAAAAAGAATCTGTGGGGCCGGCGGGTGGCTCATGCCTCTAGTCCCAGCACTTTGGGAGACCAAGGCAGGCAAATCACTTGATGTCAGGAGTTCAAGATCAGCCTGGCCAACATGGTGAAACCCCACCTCTACTAAAAATACAAAAATTAGCCAGGCGTGGTGACGCACACTGGAAGTACCAGCTACTCGGGAGGCTGAGGCAAGAGAATCACTTGAACCCTAGAGGCAAAAGTTGTAGTGAGCCAAGATCACGCCACTGTATTCCAGCCTGGGTGACAGAGTGAGACTTCATCACAAGAAAAAAAAAAAAAAAAAAAGGGAAAAAAAGAAAAAGAAAGAAAGAGAAAAGAAAGAAAGAAAAGAAATCTGTGGTGCTACCCAGAAACAGTGGCCACTCATGGGGTGAAGAACTCAGGACCCAGGCTTGCTTTACGGAAACTTATAAGCAAGATAAGGGTGCAAGTGTTGATGTCCTGGTTTCAGTTGACTGAATAGTTGAGACAAGCTGGTTTAAAGGAGATCCAGACTGGAGATGAGGAGAGTGAAACCAGGGAAACAACATCTTCAAATAAATGGACAAGGCTGTCAGTGGCCTCAGACAGGCAAAGAAACTCCACGGACATTGTTCAGAGACACAAATAACACCATTGCAGCTGACAAGAGACATAGGAACCGAGCTAGGAGGCCTGACAGATACCTCCTGTACTCCTCCTGTACATGGGTAGCTATGGTTTTGTCACACCTGCCTCTGTTCCAATAACCTGATACCGGGGCCAGGATGACAAAGGTATGACATAGGCCAAGGAGGACAGGAAAGCTCTCTGATCCACTGGTATCTGTGTTTAATATTCCATCCTAGTTTCTCATTCTCTCTCTCCTCTTTCACTTCTCTCTCTCTCTGTCTCTCTTTCTCTCTCTCTCTCTCTTTTTCTTTTTGACACAGGTTCTTGCTCTGTCGCCTAAGTTGGAGTGTAGCAGTGCAATCACGGCTCACTGCAGCCTCTACCTCCCAGGCTCAGACAATTCTTCCACCTAAGCCTCGTGAGTAGTTGGGACTATAGGCATGCAGCAGCATGCCTGGCTAATTTTTTGTATTTATTGTAAAGATGGGATTCACCATATTGTCCAGGCTGGTCTTGAACTCCTGATCTCAAGTGATCCACTCACCTGGGCCTCCCAAAGTACTGTGATTATACATGTGAGTCACCGCACCTAGCTCCATCCTAGTGTCTGACTCAAACCAATATGTGTGTATACAGCCCATCCTCAGAATTGATCTTCCATAGCCTAGACAGAGGTATGAGACACAAGGAAAACAGAGGTTACCTGGGAGAATGTTTAGAGCATCCTGCCATTCATCTTGAGAGGATTCACCATCAACAATCAGA